CTGCTCCTGCTCCTGCTCCTGCTCCTACTCCTACTCCTGCTCCTGCTCCTGCTCCTGCTCCTGCTTCTGCTTCTGCTTCTGCTCCTACTCCTGATCCTCCTGCTCCTCCTTCTCCTCCTGCTCCTGCTCCTGCTCCTGCTCCTACTCCTGCTCCTGCCCCTGCCCCTGCTCTTCTTACCTCCTCTCCTGCTCGTGGACCCCTTCCTTTCTTCTCTCTATCGGCGCTTCCTCTTCCGTCTCCTTGTCGCTCCTCTTGCTCTTATCTTTATCTTTCTCATCCCCTTGCAGGTTTCACCTCTCCCTTCGATATTCTGCTGCTCACTTGGCAACCTCAAAGTCCTGCTGCCTTCACCTCTTTTCTCTCCCTCCCTCTACCTTCCTCCCCCGGACCCTCTCACTATCTTCCTCCCCTTTCCTCCCATCTCCTCATTCCACTCGTCGATCGCTTCATGTACGCCATCGGGCATTTCAAGCCTGTAGCAGCGAAGACAAGGTGGAGTTGCCACTGGTGGACGAGGCTGCCCCAGCACAAGAGCCGAAGCTGCACACGAAGGCTCTCATCAGCGTTTGCATCGCAGAAACAAGACCTCTGTGCGTCCTCTGCCTTGCCCGAGCGTGAAGTCTGACGGCCCGAGGGCAGACAAAGTGCTAGGGGTGAAGAAGACTGCCACGAAACAGGAGATACAGGTAGGAAGCTCCTTCCTTCCGCTCTTGTCATCCTCGTACAGAATGCCTTCCGCAAGATGGCGCTCGAGAAGCATCCGGATATTCGCAGGTCTGCCGATGAGGAGGAGCAGAAGTTGCACAAGGAAGAGTTCCTGGAGATCATGACGGCTGTCTCCATCCTATCCAACGCCGACGAGAGACAAAAGTATGATAGATTCCTCGCTGCCCGCGCCCAACCAGCCTGGGTGCAGCCCCAGGACTTCAGGCGAGCAAGCGAGCATCTCAAGGGTTGTCTCTGAGACGTGGTGCGCAGAGAACAAGGACCGAGGGCGGAGGGAGGGCCCGACGACGGGCAAGCGAAGCCAAGTTGGGTGGAGTTGCAAGAGAGGCTGAGGAGGAACAAGGACATAGACAGCGTCATCACCCAGGTGCTGCGGGTCTCCTTCAGCCCCTGCTGACCCGCTTGACAAGTTCATGGATGAATTCTACGAGAGCATGTCGCAGGCGTACTGGGGCCCTTCCTTCTACGGTCAGGTGCTGCTTTCCCTCCTGCATGTGCGAACGTGTAAAGGGTAGATCGCAGCTATGGCAGCTACTGGATTTTGAGGTTTTCATGCCAAAGTAGTTGTGTGCGAGCTAAGGCCTGTTGGAGCTGGACTGCAGGAACAAAGAGACAAGCTTGTTCGACCCAGTGACAAAACTTCCTCTCACCTGCATCTTGAGCGGCAGGCAACTGATCGGACATGTCTGCTTGTCTTCCCGAAGATCGAGGAGTTGTAACATGTGGCAGGTGAAGGAGAGGAGGATTCCTCTCCTTGCAGACACGCAAAAGTCACAGATGCTGCCTGGCTCTCCCACAGTGTGCGAGGAGGAAGCCCATGATGTCGGCCATGAGCGCTCTCAGCCGCAACAGCGTCAGGATGAAGATGAAGTTGAAGAGATTCTGGAGCTTCACTTCATGTAGTCATGCTATCTCGAATGTTCTTGTCCTTTGTTTGAGGGCGGACAATGCTTGCACTCCATTGCACTCTGGTTCAAGTCTAAGTGGAATAAGTTGAAGTGATGTGATGTGATGTGATATCATGTCATGTCATGTCATGTCATGTCATGTCACGTCACGTAATGCCATGTGATATATACTTAGAAGTTTTCATCGTATCAATCAGTGTTTGATCTGCATGACTTGTTGTATCCCAGGGAAGAACTGAAAGCCTGGTGTGAAATCCCAAGAGACGTCAATCAGAACCTCAAGATCTTCATAGTGAATGAGGAGAAGGCAGACTCGTTCAGCGGGGAGCTGGTGGCAAAGATCCCTTACGCGCCGATGAGGATGAGATCGTCAATGACATTGAGGAATCTGATGGTGAAGATTTGGAGTAAATCCACGACGGGCGAAGGGAAAAAGCAATGGGAGCAGAACTACACGCTGATTCGCTTCAAAACTCCATGGGTGAGATGACAGGCAGGAGGAGAGGAGAGGCAAGAAAAGGAGGGGTGGTTAGGAGAGGCCCAGGCGAGAGGAGAGGAGGAAAAGCAAGGAGGGAAGGAGATTGGAGAAGGGGGTTGAGAAGGAGAGGAGAGAGGAGGGAGTGGAGGGAAGAAGAGAAGTGGAGGGGATTCGAATCAAGAAGGGGAGGGGAGAGGAGGGGTGAGAAGGAGAGGAGGGGAAGGTGTTGACTTGACTCAGGTGCTTCACTTCTACCTCATGCATCGATCTGGTCTCTGCGTCTTCCGCGGTCAGCAGGCTGCCCAGCTGCCCAAGTGACAAGCTGCGGCGATGGCGAGACGACTGACGAGGGGCAGGTGGATGTGGCTGTTTGATGCTCGAGTTGAGACGCACGTGGATGGTGAGAAGAGAGGGGGGCGAGAAGAGAGGGAGGGAAGAGATGGAGAAGAAGGAGGAGGGAGACGAGATGGAGGGGAGGGAGAAAAAAGGGAGGGAGAAGAGAGGGAGGGGAGAGAAGGGACTGAGACTTTTGCAGGGTCCTGGTACCTTGAACGAGGACAAGGAAGGCAGAGGATTATCAGTGCGAGGAGGAGGGAGGCGGTGGTGGTGGGGGGGCTGACGTGGTCGCAGAGGTGCATCGAATCTCGGAGGATGAGATGAAGGAGTTCGGGCTGCAGACCATCTTGATCATCTTCTTGACCAACATCCAAGAAAGGCTGCAAAGGGAAGCAAGATAAGAGTAGAGGTTTGTTTTCTTTGTTTTGTTCTGAGTTTCTATTCCCCGTTCACCTCGCTTCCTCCTCTTTAGTAGAGTATCTCTGCTTTTCCCGTCTCGCTCTCTCCTGCTATCCTTGGTTTCTGTTTCTACAACCTCTTCCTCCTGCTTCCACGTCCACACCACAAGAGGATCCTTGCAAGGAGCAGACTCATCTGCGAACATGGAACCCATCCTTCCACTCCTCGACCGACACCTTCACCTGCCCGTCAGAGCAGCAGGAGCAGCAAGAAAGTCAACCTTGCTGTCATGGTCTTTGTCGAACTCGAGCAGGAACAGGTACGACATGCCCACCCCACCCTTCCTCGGCTTGTCGCTGCTGAAGCCTGCTACCCCTGCCTCCACCATCTCCCGGTTCTGAGGGATCCATTGAGCAGGAAGTAGCAAGAGCAAGAGGAGATACAGAAGGGAGGAGAGGAGCAGGATGGAGGAGAGAGGGAGAGATGATGATGTAGATGAGAAGAGCGAGAAGGGGGAAGACGAAGAAGTCACGATAAGGAGCAAGACGAGGACGACGAGGACGACGAGGACGAGGAGGAGGAGGGGGAGGAGGAGGAGGAGGGGGAGGACGAGGAGCAACATCACCATGTACTTCCCCACGAAGTTTCTGATCTCTGTTAGGTTGAGATGATCGTCGTTGTCGAGATCAAACGATCGCATCATGTCGACCGTCATCACGTCGCCAAGAGCTCCTGCCGTCTCTCCGTCACGGCGACTGCAGCACATATCCCTCCCCCCCCCCCCTTTCCTTCCTCCTCCCCCTCCTCCCTCTTCACTTCCTCCTCATCCTCCTGCTCCTCCTGCCCCTCACCATCGACATAAAACGGTTCTTGCGGCTGGTCATGAAACAGCTCAGCCACCCACTCGTCCCATGTGACTTTCTTGTCCTTGTTCTTGTCCACCTGCTCGAACGCCTTGCAAGCTCAAAGTCATGCGGCTGCTCCTGCCGTCGCCTCCTCCTCCCTCACCTTCTTCCCAGCATCGGTCTCGTTGCCAACGAACCATTTCCCGCCGAGCTGCGCGCCCATCGCATCCTCCTCCTCCTCCTCTCGGTCCGAGCTGATGGACTGAAAGTGCCTGCCATGCTGAACGTCACCCGCGTCTCTTCCCTGCCCGGCACCAGCACTCACAGCTCGAACTCCTGTTCGTTGATAACACCATCTGCACGTTCAGCATGAGGACAGGAACAGCTGCCGCGCGCCCTTCACCTCGGTCGAGGTCCTTGGCGTTGAAGTAGAGGTGCTCCATGTACAGAGGATGCTCCTCCTCCATCAGCAGGTCGCTCTCCTCCTGCCCATCGTCCTCCGCCTGCTCCTGCGCCTTGACCGAGACGTTCGACAGCAACAGAAGGCTGAGCAGCAGCAGGACCGCGGTCCTCTGGTTCATCCTGCAGGTCAGACAGGCTGAGGAGGGGAGGGGGAGGGAGAGGGGTTGAGAAGACGGCGGCGGCAAGGGGAGCGATGGGGTTTGAGGGGGGCGGGGAGGGGAGGAAGGGATTTGCTGGGAGGCGGAAAAAACTGCTTTTAGGGGGAGGGGAGGAAGCGGGAGGGGGGAAGACAGCGAGGTGAAAAGAGGAGCGAAGGAGAGAGGGAGGGGAAGAGGACAGAGAAGGGAGAGGACAGAGACAGTCTAGCAGGGAGAGAAGAAGAGGTAGAGGAGGGAGGGGAGGAGAGGAGAAAGTAGCGAGCGAGACCGAGTCAGGATTTCGATTTATTCGGAGCAAGGGAGGGAGGGAGGAGGAGTGTCCTTATAGATCGCAAGTACGTTCTTGCAGTGCCCATTGATGTCCTTCGGCCACTCGATGCGACGGGATTGCCAACCGAAAGAAAGCGCCAAATCTGCATGAAGGGTGAGGGGAGCGTTTAGCTCTCGTAGGAGAGGAGGAGAGGAAAAGGGAGGTGAAGGAGGAGGGAGGAGGGAGGAGGGAGGTGAAGGAGGAGGGAGGGGGGTGGGGGATGGGGGGGTTGAACCTTGCAGGGCCTCGAAGAACTTGTGGGTGCAGTCCAGGACGAGGATGAGGCAGGAGGGTTTCACTCGCTCGAACATGTCCTTGAACATGGCGAACTCATTCTCCTGCTCTTCCTGTCACTGCCCGGCCACATTAGAACCAAGACAACCCGAACGGCCTTGAGGTTCTCGGCGATGACGAAGGAGAGGAGCACGATATCCAACGCGGGCATCTCCTGCGCGAGGGTGAAGTTGGCGCCGTCCGAGAGAGGCCGCACGATGTCGCAGGAGGAGAAGACGACAGCGTCTCCTCGGCACTCGACATCGCATGCACGCAAGCACTCCTGCGAGTGAGACATGAGGAGACAGCAGGCAGGTAGAGCAGGGGGACAACCAGCAGCACGTCGTTGGCTTGCCTCCAACCTTGTTCGATGTCCAAGACATGAACCCGCAACCCTCTCGGCTGCGACGTGAAGTTTCTGTGCAACACCATGCCGACCACGTCACAGCCCGGACCCCCGCCGAGGGAGGCGACGAGCAGCTCGTGTTCGCTGCTCCTCTCCTGCTGCAGCCTGACAACGTCAGGATGGGACAATATGATGCCCAACTGAGCAGAGCGATGGGGGAAGTGTCGGCGGATGTACCCGCTCCTCGCCTCCTCGTCAGAGAAATCCGGCGAGCATTCCCATTGAACCACAGTCGAAAGCTTTCTCATAAGCTTCCTGCTCTTAACCCGGTCCTCTGGCGCAAGCTTGTCCAACAAGACCGGCATGAGGGCCTTCAAAACCGTTTCATGGTACTTGAGGTACTTGAGCGCACATTTCCTTGCTGCGTGCAGCTCCTTCTGTGGATCGTGAGAAGCCGTGTCGTTGCTCATGGAGATGATTGAGCAGCTGATATCAACTCATCGATCGAGCGCGGAGGTAACAGCAGCAATGATCTAGGAAGATCCCCATTCGAATACAACGCACTTCACATCACCTACTCAACACGTCAACACGTTCTTCTATCTCTCCCCCTCTTTCTCTCTCCTCCTCCTCTCCTCCTCTCCTCCTCTCCTCCTCTCCTCCTCTCCTCCTCTCCTCCTCTCCTCCTCTCCTCCTCTCCTCCTCTCCTTCTCCCTCCTCTCTTCTCTCCTCCACTCGCCCATGGCTCACTTTGTTGCTCATCCCCCTCATTCTCGTATTCATCGCCCTCATTCCCTGTGGCATGCTCGTTCCCTATCAAGTTCGCTAGGACCTCTTTTAGGACTTTGGGGTCTATTCTTGTAGCCCACCTATTCCTAAGACCTAAGTCTAGAGATGAAGAGTAGGGCACTACGGAAGCTACGTCTCTTCTATGACCAGAAGTGCACACTCTAGGACCTGGTTAGTATGACCTAGGGCCTCTCGAAGACATAGGCTCACTAGCACAAATTCCGATAGGAATCCTATGACCCCGGGAGTTGTGCGACGAGAATGCTGTGGCACTTGGATCAGTTGGGCAGGGGAGAAGGAGGGTCATGGTATGATATTTTATAAGTAAGAGACTAAGTAAAAATGAAGAAGTCTTGTACTGATACTGATATCAGCGATTCGAAGGAGGCTACCCAAGTATTATGAAGAGATCAGCGCCGTATGAGGATCAAAGTTCAAGGGTAGAGGGATATGAATATTTATTAGGATGATACTTATGAAATTGACGAGGTAGGGGGGTCAGGGTCAGTCACTTGAGCCTGCCGTTCGTCGAATCTCAACAGCTGGATGTTGGAAGAGCTACCCAAGAAGTGGGTGGGGTACTTCATGGCAGGTGGTGGTGGAGGGGAAAAAGGGGGTAGAGGATAGAAAAGTAGGGGTACATATAAAAATAATGAAAAAATGATCGGAAATAAGGGGTATTGAATTATGATAATAAGGGGTGTAAGTATTTTATAAGGGGTTCGAAAGTCAAACTAGGGGTGGGGTCCGATATCTCGTGTGGGTTGTTTGTGGGTGAGATACTGGGGGGTGGGGTGGGAAATTTCATTTCAATGGCAAGGGGAACATTCGGGGAAATGAAAGAGGAAAGGTGAAGAAAGAGGGGAGAATGGAGGTAGACGAGAAGATCGAGGGACAAGAATGGGGAGAGAACAAACAAGATACATCGAACAAGAGGATGGAAGGCGGAGAATGTGCCAAGTGTTGTTCAAACTGAGCAAGGAAAGTTTGGCATAAATTGGACATCCGCAATATTCTTATTTTAGAAGCAGGGTCAAGCATGAGACTAGTAGTAGGATTGAAGGGCAATGACGCATTGACCGCTAGACAAGTGCCGGCACGGATGATGATCATTGCAAGTCAATATGTGAAGGGATGTAGTTAGACTCAATGCCACGGTGTCGGGATGGGATTCAAAGTTGCTATCCGAAGATGTAGGAAAGTTGGACGAGGTTATCAACGCGTGTGAGATGAAAACACATATAAAAGAAAACCACAACCATGGTTCTATTCCTGCAAAGCCAATGAATGTTCGAATTAAAACAGCATAGAAGTTAGAGTCAGGTAGAGAATTGGAAACCAAGGCGCAGGGAGATGTCAATATCACGATTTGATGGGGAAGGAGAAGAGTTAAAAACATATTGCAAGATTGAGAAATAATGCGAACGTCAGGGTGGTTGTGATACAAATGTTTGATTGGAACAGGAGGAGGGGCTGCCGAATGGTGGTACACATGACGGCGGCACCGAGGGGATGCGGTAGAGATCTCTACATCTTCATGAGACCCGAGGTGACGCAGGGAAAGGTAGAGGACAAGAACAAGTTGTGATGTGCTCTGACGTCTCCTCAGACGCTCATGTCCAGGAGCGACGGATCGGGGCGGAGCAGAGCGATAATGAACCGAGACATGCTGATGTAAGCGTTGCCGGCCGCCGCGCCTCCACTAACCTGCTGCAGTGTGGAATCGGAGAAGAGGAGGAGGCAGAAGACGCTCAGTGACAGACTCTCCACTCCGAGCCCCAGACAGTGAGTCCAAGGACGAGAGGGCTTCCATTCATTCCATATGCTCATCGCTGGCTGGCTGCAGGCTCCGAGTAGCGTATGAGCGCAACGTGCAGTCGGCAAGGTCCTCTCTGTACCACCTGCGGGTGACGCCCCGCCGTTCCTCCTCCCTCCTCCTCACGCTGCTGCAGATGGGAACGCCCTTCTCTCCGGGACAGACGCTGCAGGAGCGCGACCGGCACATCAGGCAGCGACATGCCGAGTGGATGGTCCAGTCAAGGAACCGAAGCCCATCCGCCTCCGTCAAGTCGAGGAGCCACGTCCTCTCCCCTATGACCGTTTAGCCTCCAGTGAGCGAAAAGCGATTCAGGTCCAGTTGCTCCTGCAACGAGTGCTTGTCGCTTGTAAGTTTGAATCATTATTGTTTGTACCTCCCAAGAGCAGCAAAAGATCCTACGATCCGATTGATGACTTCCTTCCACAGCAAAATGATTCTTTCTTGCGAAACGACTTGCAAAGGAATCAATGCACTTTAGTACACTCCACACCGAGCAGAAAGGCTCTTGGCTCCTACCCTGGGCTGTTCGCATTGGCACAAGCTCTTCGTGCTGAAGCAAGACTTGCAAACACTGGTTGCATTTGACGGTAGATTTGATTGTAGCAGGCGTACATCTCTTGGTACACCTTTTTCCTGCCATGATCGCAAGTGAACGTGTCAGCAACCTCAGTGCATTCTTCTTCCATCGTCTTGCCCATGGCGCTCCTCGCCAGCATCGCAGCCCCTCGCGTGCCAACCTGCTGGGGATCTGCCACGACCTCAACGTCTCGTCCCAGCACGTCCGCCATGATCTGCATCAGCAGCCGGCTTCTCGTCCCTCCGCCCACGGCCCGCACGCTCCTCTCGTCGTCGAGCTCGAGGGTGTCGCTGAGGCTCTTGTAGGAGTAGCACACCCCCTCCATGACGGCGCGGCAGAGGTGAGCTGTGGTCGTGCTGGGCGAGATCCCGATGAAGCAAGCTCTTGCGTTCTCGTCTGTGAATGGAGATCGCTCCCCCGCTAGCCAAGGACAGAAGATCAAGCCGTTTGCTCCTGGGCCCACACTCGCACCGGCCTGTTCCATCAGGAGATACGCTTCGTCCTTGCTGTGCCCAGCGAAGAAATTCCTCCTGAGCCACTCCAAGTTAGCGCCTGCTTGCATGCAACTTGCCGCCGAGATCATCAGCTTCGGCTCACACGGATGGGCCAGGTGGAACAACCCGGCGCCTCCTCCGCGCCTGGTGCGCTCTTTGCTGCATGCGATCCACCCGCTCGTTCCCATGTACATGTAGCTCCTTCCCAGCACGCCGGCACCAGCTCCGATCGTCGTCGATCCAGCATCTCCACTGCCGTGAACGACGGGGATGCCGGCGACCAAGCCGAGCTCCTCAGCAGCAGCAGGCGAGAGGCTGCCTGTCCTCTCATTGCCATGAACCAACTTCGGCAAGCATGGAACAGCTGAGGCGAGGAATCTTGAGATCAAGTCCACGTGGAATTCTTGATGATCGTCAGTCAGCAGGCCGGTAGTCGATGCCGTCACGAAGTCAGACACGCCTTCGCCGCAGAGCTTGAGAGTGACAAAGTCATGCGCTCCCAACAGAATGGTAGCCGTTTGATCGACGACCTCCCTCTCATGCTTTGAAACCCACAGGAGCTTCGGAAGTAACGAACAAGCGCCCTTCCAGTTTCCTGTCTCGCGTACCAACGCCTCTCTCCCATATTCCTCCTCGACAAACCTTGCTTCTTCTGAAGCGCGGGTGTCGTTGTACAGGATAGCGTTCCTCAGAGCATGGCCGTGCTTGTCCAGCAGGATCAAGTTCTGCATCTGCCCTGTCAACGCCACGCATGTAACTGACTTGCCGTGCTGTGAGAATTCAGGTCGTCGAGCACAGTCCTTCAACGCCTGCCACCAGTCCATCGCCTGCTGCTCCTCCCATCCACCGGGACAAGACATGGAGCCATGCTCATACCCGCTCTCAGCTTGAAACACTATTCCTCCTCCCAGCGCCTCCTGTCTCGTCTCCCTTCCGTGCTCACTTTCCATGTTGCTGTCATCCTGCAGAACTTGAAGCTTCAGTGATGAAGTCCCAACGTCTATGCAGAGAAGCATGCGAGAGCGCACGAGATAGATGGAGCACCTGTAAGTTCATTCCATGTCATTGTCATCTTCTTGCAAAGACCCCTCCCCCCCCCCCTCCTCATCGTCTCTCCTCGTTCTCTTCTTGTCTCCCCCCTCCTTGTCTCTCCTTGTCTATCTTCGTCGCTCCTCCTCTCTCCTCGTTCTCTCCTCGTTCTCTCCTCGTTCTCTCCTCGTGCTCTCCTCGTTCTCTCCTCGTTCTCTCCTCCTCTCTCCCGTCTCTCCCATCATCCTTGTACTGATTATTCTTTGTTTGCTCCGGTTTGCCCTTCTTTTTCAGTCAATAAAGAGGATTATTACCTCCCCCCCTCCCCCGACGACACTATTCATGAGAGAGGGCAGAAATGTACATATAGCCCTTTAATTAGTAGAAGTCACTTTGTAACGGAAGGGCAGAAAGCCGACCTCCGAAGAGGCAATCCAAAAACGAGCAGCAAATGCATACAGGAAGGGAGGGTCGAGGGGAGGAGGGACGAGGAAGGGAGGGAGGGCAGAGGGGAGAAGAAGAAGGGATCAGAGACTTCGTAAAGATTGGACAAGAGAGGTGGGGAGGGAGGGAAAGGGGAGGAGCCAGGAGAGATGGTCTTACGTATATTGTGAGGCAAGTTTTCCATGTACTTGTAGGCGGAAGTCACATGATACCGAAGAGAGGTTTTGAGAACTGACGATCTGAAACATCATTGCAAGTTTTCTCAGAGGGCTTGCTCTTTCACTCCCGCATGCTCATGGTTGAACGTCTTATGCAGGTGGCTTAAAACCAAGACAGGAGGGCCGTACAAAAAATGGCGAAGGGGTCACAGGTGACACATTCAGCTCTGCTGGCGGGTCTGCACTCATGTCGCGTGTTCGTTGGCCAGGCTCAGCAGCTTCGCAAGTATGCGCCTGCTGTGATTGCTTGCGCTCTTGTCGTCCTCCTTGTCGTTGAAAGGTAACAAGGTGCGAATGAGCGCGACAAGGTTAACTGGTTCAACAGGAGCAGCAGCTACCGGTCCAGTCTGGTCTCGCTCGCTGATCCTTCAGACTCGCAGTTTGAGGTCCAGCAGTCTTTCAGCGCAGGAGGAGAGTGACTTTTGTCTCAGGACCCCCAGCTGAATCAGATCTACAATCAAGCCCTCCGCGAGTCCCTTCGTGACTCTAAGGTGAACGCACAGGCTCAACAACGCCCAGCTCTTGACCAGCTTGGTAGGAGATCAGCAGAGGCTTCGAGTGGAAGCACTTGAAGAATTCCGCCAGCCAACCAGCAGAAGCTCCGAAACAGCAACAACTGCAGGTAAACCGTTCCCCGGCCCCCGGTACCAAGTCAGAGGATGTGAAGGCCCCAGCTGTGAAGAAGAGCGAGGAGACCAAGGAGGATGAGAGATTGTCCTCTGGTCAGGCCAGGAGCGACCTCAGCGCTTTCTTCACGCATATGGAGAAAAGTCATAGTGACTCAGCACCTCATGAGCACGTGGAGTTGAAGAAAGCTCCTGCGGTGAAAGGCCTGTCTGAGTCCACCAAGGTGCGTCCCAAGCGAAGAAAGAGGGGAAGATAGCACGCAGCTCCTTCTTTTTTCAAACACATCGGAAGCATCCTAGTGACGAGCTTTGACAGAGGGAGCTACAAGCACTGATGGGGGAGAAGCAGAAGGCCAAGCTCATGAATCAGGTTTGTCTTGATGTGTTGCCGTCGTCAAGGTGATGTTATTTCAGGTCAAGCAGCAGAAACATGACATTCGGATCCTTGAGCACATGGTAGGCTGGAGGGGATGAGGGCCGGGTGCGTGTGATAGTCTCACTGTCGAGCAGCTTGTCGACTCCCTTGCTGCAAAGTCGAACCCCGTAGAGCCGAAAGCTACTGAGACGAAGAGATCGCGCCATGCCGATGACCAGCAGGACCAGGAGAAGAGTGCGGAGAAAGCTTTTGCAAACATCTTGGCGGCGGCAGCGGCTAACGAACGGCCGAAAGCTACTGAGATGAGATCCCGTCCAGTAAAGGACAAGCAAGACAAGGAGAGGAGTGCGGAAAAAGCTTTTGCAAACATCTTGGCGGCGGCGGCAGCCAGCGAATTGTCACATGCTGCTAGGGAGGTGAGGGAAAACAAATGGGTCGCATGCGTACTGAATGAGGTCCTTCGTAGAAGAAGAGCTCCAAGTCGAGGTCACCAAAGAGATGGGAGGTCGAAGGATACATGGATGCGGACGAAGGAGGAAGTCAGTTGGCATCGTTTGCACTTCCGGCTCCTCCTGTACCAGCTCCCGACCTCCGTATGCTTCTCACTCCATTCAGCAGGCTGCCAAGTGTCCTCCCTGTGGCTTTCTTCCTGACTGTCAGGTGAGGAGGAGGAGGAGGAGTGTCGTCTCGATTGATGACACAGTTCCTACCTCAGGTCAACCCTGCTGCAGTTGGAAGGTCACGAGCAACCGGGATGTTCAATGCATATCCCTGTAAGACTTCCTTGCTCGCAGCTTTGACCTGACGCGCGTGCAGCCATGCCCCAGTCCAACCCTGTGTGGGGCAGCGGCGGTGCTCACTTGAGCACGCTTGCCTTGTCATCGGGAGGAATCAATCAGGATGTGAAACCTCTTTGGAACAAGCTCGGCGATATCTTCCGGCCCGCAGCAAGAAAGCTCCTCAGCAAGGTGGCGCCTCCTGCTAACAATCATCCTTGACCTGGCGGGCAGGAGCCTGTAGAGGATGAGGAAGGAGGATCAACGCGGGTAGAGGAGTTGGCGTCCTTCGCCCTTCCTGCTGCTCCTCAGTAAGCGACACGTCACTCTTATCCCCCACGCTCACTGGCTGCTGCAGGGCGTCGCCTCCTCCCAAGTGTGTCTGTCCTGCGTGCAAGCTGGGGGACGAGAGGGTGCGACGTTCTTGTGCCAGTGGCTGTTGTAACAAGACGGTGACAGATTGGGTTCGAGGATGAGAAGCACTCCAAGAGCGATGTTTCGCAGGAAGAGCTTGTCGGGCTGATCGGTTCTCTTCATCCTTCCCCTCGTCGGCTCTGATGCTGCCTGCAGATGACGAGCTCATGAAGCTCGACCCCCAGTACGCCGCGAAGAGGATGGAGTTCAACGGAGCCAAGGTCTGCTGAAGCTCCCTACAACCTCCCCGTGCTCAACCTGGCTCCAGGACTCCCTTCTTACCAGCACGCAAGGATGGTGGCCGGCCGGCCGAGCTAATCCCTTCAGCGATTTCTCAGGAGCACAAGAACCCTACGGGAATGAGGTGAAGGAGCCGGAGGTGCGCTAGAGCAGCTGACTAGCGTCCAGGTGGTGAAGAAACGCGCCACTGTCTGGTGATTCCACGAGACTCTTGAGACTTTCAACGGGAAGATGTACGCCAGAGATGATGTTTGCATGTTTGCAGAGTTGTATCATCTCCGATCAGATGGTTCTCAGTGCCAGTGTCTCGATCAGTCTAGGAGATTTCGCTTGCAGCGTAGGCGGTACGTCCCGGTAGAACAAACTTCGAAATTTCGGAAACTTTAGACGCTCAACTCATTGCTCTCTAAGGCTCTGATGATGATCACCGATTGTGTCATGCGGTCTCAAGAGTTGTAGTCAGTCCCTCAGCAATTGTCCCGACAGACGGCCCGGCCCCGGCGGCCAGTCCGATCCCGGCGAGTCCGCCGAGCCGCCGCGTGATTCACTGCCGATGATCACGGCGGTGCCGCTGAGTGAGTTTTAGTCATTTGCTAGTGCATGAGGGGGATGATGAGATACAAATCGGGAGGGAAACCCGGAAGGAGGGGAAGAGGACGGAGCAAGCATGGGAGAGGAGAAGAGAGGAGGAGGAGGATGGGCAGACATGGGGAAGGAGGAGGAGCCTTGACCTGGGATAACATGCTACAGCGAGGAGGAGGACACCTTCAAGGTGGTTCATGAGCATGCTCCTCTTATCTCATGCTGAGACAAGAGGTCTGGTGATGGTGCGGAGACTCGCAGCCATTCTAGTGTGAAGCGCGGGACGTGTTGCCGATGCCCATAATCGAGATCCTCCTCTTCGGTGTTGGGGTGGCAGTGGGAGGAAGGAGGGCTCTACAAAAGTTTCGCGGAGAAGATGGCGAGGAAACCACCGCCATGTCGGCGCCGGTGTCGCCATGTGCTTCTCCTCGGCAGCAGCATGACAGGCAGAGGGATAGAAGTGACTTCCAGAACCTGATTGACGATGCTCGCGATACCTTAGCGCTCCTCTCTCCCCGGCTCGTGGACAACTCTTCCTATCCTCCTCGACACGATTGGGATGCCTCAGATGCGGGAAGCGCCGGGGGAGCAGGTCAGCTAGAGGGAGAGGATAGCATAGATAGGAACTGGAGCTCGTGGATCTCGAGGATCGTCGGGAACAACGATTCTTCTCACTCTGTCGATGCGTTCGGTCAAGCAAACAACTGGTCGATCCGGGACGGAATTATCAACCTGGCCGGGGATAACAAGGTTCATGCTCACAAGCAGGAGGCCCTTGAGGACCGCAAGAGTTGGGACCCATGTAGAACCCCCAGGTCGAGTGCGCTAAGGAAAGGATGGGACTCTCCCTCTCCCTCTCCCCGAGCTCTCCCTCAGCTGCCTGGCCGTCACGTTCGTTTCCACCCCAAGCCAAAATTGGAGGAGGTGCACAAGATTGAGCATTCGCCAGAGGAGCTTTCCTCCCGCAGGAACCACTGGAATCGCATCCTCAAGGCAGCTGAACGAGATGCCTACGATGCCTACTTGTCGAGCGGGAAGCACAGAAGGAAAACAGAAGCAGACAGGCTGACTTCTCCCTCTGAGATCCACGTCCTTTATCAGGACTTGTTGCCTCAGCCTGTCTCATCTTCGACGCGCGAACGACCAGACCTCGCAAGCTCTTGTCCAGCTGGCGGCGAGGAGAAGCAGAATGGAAAGGATACGTCGCCTGCAGACAAGTGGAAGAAAGCTGCAGGAAACCGCGCCACGGTTCCGGTGAGTTCGACTTACGATTACTTTTGCCTCACTTGCCGTGCAGATTCCAAAACTTAATCTCGACAAAGTTCGTGTGCAGGAAGACGAGGAAGAATTGGGTCGTAGGAGACTAAGACGATGACGCCTCTATCAACGGCTGCCGTCCTGTCTGTTACTATTAATTATCAATTTTATGGCATGCTTTCTGTACAGCCCCAGCTCCCCAGCCCCGCCCCGTCCCCCTTCCCCTCATCAGCACCTTTCGCCCTCAGCTTCGAGGCAGAGAGTCAGCCATGAGAAGGATTCGACGGGTGGGCAAAGAGAGGGCATGGAGGCAACCGGTGCATGTGCGAGACTAAGGTGACAAGGCAGGGAGAGACGAGATGAGGAAGAGGAGTTGAAGGATGACGACGAAGCGAGAGGAGGAGCAGATGCTTCCCTATATTAACCTAATCTTTGTCGCAAGTACGTCACTTTACACTGCATCCCTCAGTTCCGGCAAAAGTCTGCCTGGATGAGAAAGCAGGAGGGGTTCAGATGATCAGCAGCCTCTTCACGCGTTTGCAGTAGTCGATGTACTCCTTTCCGAACTTCTTCATCATCCATTCTTCTTCGACAGGCATCACCCAGAGGAACAAGTAGCCGGCCGTCAAGGCTAGGCTGATTGCACTGTACGCAGAGTCAAGAATGAAGGCAACTGCAGTGCAGGATCCAAGCATGCCGATGTAGATAGGATGACGGAAGAAACCGAAGGGCCCATCCTTTACAACCAGCTGCGCTACTCCTGCACCATGTGGGACTGGCGTGTGGTACTTGTTCAGGTGTCTGATGGCAGACAGCGCGAAGGACCATGACAAGCACCACATTGAAACTCCAGCGAGGTATGTCGACATGGGGGTCATGGAAAAGAGCTCAGATACCTTGACTTGGGGGAGAGACGCTGGAAGGTATCTCAGACTTTCTCGCGCGACATAACCGAGAATCCAAGACCCCATGGTCAAGAAGGGCGGCTTGATAGGAAGCTGAATGGTCTTTTCTCCGTCATCTTTCTTGAAGTTTGAGTCCTTGGGTCTTGCCAGGGACATGACCACAAATCGAACGCCTCCGCAGAGGGCGAGAACATGCGCGAGGCCACCGAAGGGAGTGGAAGCTGGAGTCGTCATGGAGTGGTTGGTTGCTGAAGTACTCAAGAACCTGCTGCTGCTGCTGTTGCTTGCTCTTGCAAAATTTTTATAAGGAAAATTCGGCGGGGGGGGGCTTTTAGGTCAGGGGGTACAAATGGGGGGTAGGGGTACTAGGACATAGGGGTCCGTTCATGCTCCGATGAGTTATTGATTACATTGCAAAGGGAGGGTGGGTGAAAAGTGTTAGAAAAGTACCGGTGGTAAGAACCCATTTTACGTAATCCAGTAGGGGTGCTCGCGTAGAGTGAGGGTGAACACGGGTGGTATAGAGGAGATATCCCAGGGCTCGTATAAAGGTGGGGTGGTCGTCCTTGGAGATATAAAGGGAGGCGAGGACAGCAGATATTTCAATTAGCTGAGACGCCTAGGTGACTGTGCTGTCCTCCCTTTCCCTTAGCCGCAATGAAGGACGTGATCTCCGAGCGGCTCAGTGACTGTACGTGACTCGCACCCGGTCAGGGTTATAAGTAGAGGCTGTTGGCACGGTCCTCGTACTGATTTTTAACTTAACTTTGAGTAAAGAACCATTGAACCGGCCCGGGAAGAAGAACTTGGCAAGTTGAGTCCGATCATTGAGTCAATGAGTCACCGTGACGGTGGCAGTGTACTTCCGGTCATTGAACTTCGGCCAACGGTTTGCCACTGTTGAACCGGGCTGGTCGGCCCGGATCGGACCCGGACGCCAGGCTGAGCTCGGACCGTCGGGCCGGGCGGCTCGCGCTCCCCGGCGGGCCCGGCCCGGACTCGGAGGACTCGGGAGTACCGGCCCGGCCCTGAGCAGACTGAGCCCGGCCACCCGGCGCGCCGGCCGGGCGCGGCCGGGCCCCGCGCCCGAACTTCCCGAACTTGGGCTGAACTCAGTGACTCGGTTGTTATCTGAGGGTCCTGACGGAACAAAGAATTTTAGACGGCAGTGAGTCTCTTCTACCCCACCCACCCCCCTACTAGGCTAGCCAGCGCCCGGCAGCTCTCAGCGGCCGCCGGACTCCTCAGAATGAACCCACCCCCTGAAAATAAGGGCATTGACTCTAGGTACTGGGGGTGGCAGCAAGTTCACTGGATAGAATCCTATCTTTCTGCCTACCGTACCGGTACAACCGGCTGCTCTCGCTACCAGCGAGCACGACAACAGTCTCCTCCTCCTCCTCCTCCTCCGGCTCCTCTCCCGCTCCATCGTCTTCACTTCACAACAGATCCAGTGGTAGCGACTGAGAGGTCCCTCACTGGCAGTAGGATACAGCTCTCAGCGCAGACCATCTCCACTAGCTCAACCATCTTCCAATGGATCCGTTTGTAAACCTCAAGATCGTCTCAATCTTCACCGTCCTTGCGACGTCCATCATTGGCGTCATGCTTCCTGTCCTTCGCTGGAGAAAGGAGGGTCCCAAGACGGCAGAGGAGCCTTCCTTCTGGTTCTTCCTGCTCCGAGCGTACGCAGCTGGCGTCATGCTGGCGCTGGCGTTCGTGCACATCATCTCCGACGCTTTCTCAGTCATGGATGGGTTGACGGGCAACTTCCCCATCGCGTCTGTTCTCGTCATGGTGGGCGTGATGCTCATGATGCTGGTCGAGCGAGCTTCTCTCGACTTCGGGTCTCGCTGCTTCGGAAGCTCAGGCGACGCCGCCAGGGTCTGCTGCCACTCGGACGTGCACCAGCACTCGCACGGGTGCCTGCGACATGCGCATCAGTCCAACGACTGTCATCACGAGGACGCGGAAGAAATCTTCGTCATCGAGAGTCATGCCCTGCCTCCACATGTCCCTCACGCTGTAGCTGACGAGGAGCTGGGGACTTCCGTACCTCCGTCGCTGGAGGCTCTCAAGGCCGCAGACCTTCCTCAAGTCAGCGGCGATGCACAAGGAGATCTGGCCGACGTTGTGGACGCCAAGCCGCGGGTGATGCTGGGGATGCTTGAGTTCGGCATCGTAGTGCACTCGGTGATCATAGGGATGGATCTGGGAGTGAGGACGCAGAAGCCGAGCGCCATCGTGGGGCTGATGATTGCTCTCTGCTTCCATCAGTTCTTTGAAGGCCTCGGCCTCGGATCCTGCATCGCTTACGTCATGCATGAGCACGGATCGGCGATGCAATGGCCCAAGGTAGGAGGAGCACGGGTGAAGACCAAGGAGTCTTACTAGTCGAGCAGATCATGCTCATGGTGATGCTCTTCTCCATCACGTTTCCCCTCGGCGTAGCGCTGGGGATGATCAGCATCGCTGCGCAGAGCTTTCATGCTCAAGATCTGTTCCATCCTTGGCTGCAAGGTCGGGAGGGACGAAAGGAAACATTAACCTTGACTGGCACGCAGGAACTCTCGACGCTTTGAGCGGAGGCATCCTGGTTCACCTAGCCTTCATTCACTTCATCTCAGGTTCTTCTCTTCACCGTGTCTTGTTGTTTGAAGGACTATGCTGACGGAGGAAGCAGAGGATTTCAGTCGGACGGACATCAACTCTCCTAAGCACTTGCGGCTCAGATGGAGCATGCTTCTCAGCGTCATCCTAGGGGCGACCTGCATGTCGCTCCTCGCGCTCCAAGCTTGAGCACAAGATTTTTAATGATTCCTTCTCTCTTCCTCTCCTCCCTCTCTCTCCTCTTCATCACCCACCCTCCTTCTCTCTCCCCCTTGCCTCTTGGTTGCTGTAAAACGGGATGTCCGTCTAGATGGTCGTCACCTCGTCCACCACCCTCTGCGCGACGATCTTCTGGTTGTCGTCCACCAGCACTGCCTCTCCCGTCACTCCAACCAGCAGCATCTCAACTCACCGTTGAGCAGAGGGCCCGACGGCAGCTTGACTTGCACCCACTTGGAGCCGGTGGGAGACTGAAGGACAAGTGAGGACGAGCACGTGGCGCAGACGGAATATGAACAGAGGGAGGGAGGGAGGGAGGGAGGGAGGGAGGGAGAGAGGGAGGGAGGGAGGGAGGGACTTTCGGGGGAAGGGGAGCGGGAAGGGGGCGAGCAGGGGACCAGTGGAGGCAAGAAAGGGAGGGATGCGGGCAAGTGGCGATGAGAGAGACAGGAAGGGAAGCAGAAGGTCAAAGGGGGGGGTCAAGGACCTTGAGGGTGGAGCCATAGCCCTCTTCTTGCATCTGAACCTCCACGTCCGCTCCCTTGCTGAGTACAGAGCAGAACTTCATCTCTCCTCGCATGCTCTTTCGCTGTGCGATGTAGAGGTGAATCCCTTGCCTGCTCCCTCGTCAGCTGCCTCAAGGGTTAGAGAAGCAATCGCTACCGGTCGTCTCGTTTGTACTTGAGGCTCGTCGCAGGGTTGCGATGAACAACATCGTAGAGTTTTTGTTGAGGCAGTTCTGTTGGACATCAGATGCGAAAGAGGACGAGGCGAGCAGCAGGAGGAGGGGAACCTTCGGGGGCACCTCCTTCTGCGCTTAATGAGTCATTCGAAGAGTTTCTCGCCTCCATATCCTGAGAAGGTCAAGATGAGCTTGAAACGAACTCACTTGCATCCCTCCGCACCTGCCGCACTTTCTTCATCAACCTGTCTTCTTTTCTCAGCGTCTCACGCAGCCTCTCTGTGTTCCTCGTGTTGGCATACAGCTCTCGCTTAGCGAAGTCTGATGTCATGAAGCCTGCAATGCATGTCATCCCCTGCTCTTCCGCTCCCTTCCTCCTGTGCTCATTTTCCTCCCCATTCCTATTCATGCTCACCGAGCTTGCTGCAGGCTTTAGGACGGAAGTCTCCGTCGGGAAACTTCTCCTTGTACCGATCGTTGTCGACATATTTGTCCTTCCCCTTCACGTCTAGCCAACGGGTCACCCGACAAGCAGTCAACGCCTCCTCCCTCACCCGCTGAGCTGCTCAGCGATGGTGCGACCGTGAAGAGCGCAGTAGTGGCGTTGCTCGCCTTGCGGAAAGCATCGCTTGCAACATGCGCGAACGAGTCGGCGCCATGCCAGAGGCCCCCGCGGAACTGCTTTCCCTTGCAGCTCTGAGGTACAGAGACTTTGTCGCTAAAAGGTTCGGTGATGCAGAGCGCGGGGACGTGAGAGAAGGTCCCCGTGTACTTGCTAGTGTTGGCATTGATTTCAGGAAGAGGGATCTTAGTCTTTCCCATTGTTATGGGTAAACTTCACTGCTTTCTGGTAAAAAGAAGGTTAGAGATGTTCGTCTTTCCCTTGCACAACGTCGACAAAAAAAAGGCATGTTTCCCATGCTGTCAACTCTTTGGCTCTCATGTTACATGTTTATTTCTCAGCCCGTGACTGTGTTTCACATTGTGTTCTTGTCACAACTTTCAGCATCTGAATATCTCTCTACATTTCCTGTCCATGTTCGAGTTACCTGTACACACTCTCCTCCGCTTCCTTCCTCCCCCTTATTCCGCACTCGATTTCCCCATCCTACGTATTTGCCTTCAATTCTGTCCTGCCCCTACATCCTGTCACTCACGCATCCTCGTCTCCGAGCCCTGTCACCTCACATGTGGAATGTTGTCTCCATTCCTTGACCGTCCAACACTCCCCTCCCCTCCCCTCCCTGCCTAACTTGTCTCCGCGCCTGTCACTTCCTCTCCTCGCGACGCTCGTCGATGTCAAGCCGCGTTCAGCATTGTTGACGAAAGTAACGGGCGAGAGCCAACGAAGGGGTCCTACTACCCCCCATTTCGTAGTCCTCATGAGGGGTCATTCGAGTGACATGTCAAGCCAACGGACTTCAGCCAACGGCAGGTGCCCCTCATCCCCGTCACGCGCCCACTCTACTTGAACAGGCTGAGTGAACTCAACTTGAGTGACTTGAACCCACCGCATGACTCAGCACGGTCCGAACTCCGAAGGGCCCGGCCCGCCGGCCCGGCCTCTCAGCCTAGTGACGGTCAGTGCTCCCGGCACTCGGCACTCGGAACTTAGACACTCCGAGTGACGGCTGACCGTCCCTCCGAGAGTCGGGTCACTCCTGGCAGTCACTGACTTATTTAGCTAAACTCCGACTGACAGAGTCAACGGCGTGCTCGTGACGGTTTACGACAGCTGAGTCTGTTGCCCCGGCCGCAGCCTTAGCCTCGGAGTGACAGCGCAGGCGGCGTGTCACAGTAAAGATGAGAGTGTGAGGTTGACTCGCGACTGGCAGAGGCTGCAAGTGACGGTGAGAGTCGGATGAGTCATTTATGAGCTTGTCAAGACTCGTAGATGATGGGCAAAAGATGATGTCTTGCTGGGCTTCCAGGCGTAACTTCACCTATCCACTCGGAGTAGCTCTCCATGTCCTCTCGCTGCGGTACAGGTTACGGAGAGCTTCAGTCAGCATTGAGCGTCACCTCAGGCCTCCTCCTCAGCTTCTTGCTGCCGAGCACATGAGCATCGACACTAACGAACGAGACTGCCAGCGCAATGCGATCTTGCTTGCTGCGAATCCACAAGGCACGAGTGAGGGAGGAGAGGAAAGTTGGACATGAAAAGACAGGGCACTTCATGGCGAAGCAGCAGGACGGCTCATGCTTGCAACATCTACCGTACCCGAGATTCGGAGGAGCAGCATGGAAGAGCCAACCATGATGCCACGTGCTGATGAATGAGGTGAGAGAAGGATTATGCGTGATGTACAGCACCAGTCTCCCAGTTGCAGAGGAGCATGGTTGTGCACGTCGTACTCCCGCGGGTCGCCGCTGATCACCATTGAGTAACTTGGCAGGCAGGAGGGGCAGGAAGAGGAGGGGTCTAGGGTTTCACGCAGTTCTCACCTCGGGTCCTCCATCCCCTCGTTGGTATACCTGCGACGAGCACGCGCGTCAGCCTCTCTTGCGGCTAATCAACCAGCACCAGTAGGGCAGCGCGACATCGCGATGTGACCCCGAGGCGAACTCAAGAGGAGAATCGTCGAGCTGCGGAGAGCGGAAGCGGTGAAAGGTGGAAACAAATGAAAGAATGAGAGGGAGGGGAGGGAGGGAACGAGGGAAGAGAAGGAAGTGAGGGAGGGAGGAGAGGTAGGGGGCGGAGGTGAGGTAGGGGAAGGGAGGGGGGGAAGAGAGGAGAGAGAAGGAGGGAGAGGAGGGGGAGGAGGGGGAGGATACTCACGGTCTCAATAGGAGTTAAAGGAATCCAGCATGTGATCATTGCGTTTGTGTCCCACGGTGAAGTCGCCAAGTCCGCGTGCCAGCTGCAAAAAAGTTGAGAATTGAGGGAGAGAGGAAGCGGAGGAGACCTAGTTTCACCATGACCAGCTTCCTTGTAGAAGATGGAGGTCTGGTAGAGCATCGTCCCTCTCACTCCCATTAGCTCTGCTGCTATTTTCCCCATCGAGTTGTCTCGCACAAACGACATGATGGCCTCAGAGTCTTCGCTAGATCCCCGATGAACATTAAACGCCTGCAAGAAGGGTACGACTGCATCGTTTTCCTCGCACCATGTCTTGAGAAGCTTCTCCGCATCCTCTTCGGTTCTGCAGTTCTGAGCTGCTTTTCTCAACTCCTCGTCGTCATCGTCTTCGGCGAAGAGGCGCATCTTCTGGGTGTAAGCCTTGAACTTCTCTGCTTGGAACCTGTTGACGACAGCTTGCTTCAGTCCTTCGACCTCTCCTGCTGCGAAGAGCGACCGCAGACCCACATGGCCTTGTCTCTCGAACTCCAGACATGCATGCACGTCCACGTTGGTGAACGTCGGGCGAGCTTGACATTCCTCAGCGACAGCCGATGCTGCCAGCCGAGCTTCTTCAAAGCCTTCAACTTGCGACGAGCTGCCCTCATGCTTGAACCAGTCGCTGTCTTCCCTCATTGCAGTTCTCGCTACCCTCACTTGCCATCTGCCAGCATGCAACGACAGCTTCGGGCGGCGGCTTGCAAACGGAGGCGAGCGGGTCGCCGGCAAGAAAGCATAGACGGGAGAGCAAGAAGAGGAGAGGAGCTGGAGGGCAAGAGGGAGGAGAAGGAGAAGCGGAGGATGAGAGGCATGGCCGTGCCTCGGGAGGAAGGACGGGACGCAAAGGTGCATTCGGGGGACGGAAAAGGGGGAGGTCGGGGAGGGTGCTATGAAAGACCAGGAAAAGGAGGGGGTGGGGTAGTGGTAAGGTTGAGGCGGGAGAATGGCATAAAATGACTAGGGAGGGCGGGAGGGAGGGCGGGAGGGAGGGCGGGAGAGAGGGATGCTTCCTTCGTCCTTCTGGCTTCAGATCGAAGAGCTGAGGAGATGCAACAAGACAAAGACGGAGGCAAGTTCGCATGGCAGACAGAAGCGTGTGAAGCTGCCGCTCCAACCTGCTTCCAACCTTGAATCTGCGACACAAGAGCCGAGCGATGCATCGGAGGCGACCATGGCAGAGAAGAGACCGCGAGGTGACTGCATGCGATCATCGTCCATCGGTGTAGGAGATTTCTACGGGAAGAAGAGCAAGGAGGAGGAGCTGTTTCTCTTCCGGCTCTCGCACCAGACAACCAAGTTAAGGTGAGCCCTCCACCCTCGTCGCGCTCCCTTGACGCGAGGCAGACGCGCTGAGATGCGCAAGTTCAAACTTCAGAGAGACGCCTTCGAGTTTCTGGACTCGCAGCAAGAGGGGAAGGGGATGGGTCAGGCTTGAGAGATTGTGTCTTTGGCTGACGAGAACCAGGTGACGAATGGTTTGTGTTCGGGGAGGAGAAGAATGGCAAGGGCAAGAGGAAGTTCTTTGTGACAAGCCAAGCAGGCTCGACATGTTGACTTGGCTTCTCTCTCCTCACATTCAAACAGAATTATGGCGAATCATCAAGGAGACCTTCGAGCGCGGCGAAATCCCTCACATGTGAAGCTTGCTTGCGAAAGCTTTTTCAGTCACCATGCTTAGGTATGAAGTGATTCGAGAAGGATGCCCGGCGTATCTCTACTTCGACATCGAGTTCAACAAGCGGTGGAATCCTGAAGTGAATGGCGAATGTTGCATGGAGACGTTTGAGAACTATTTGTGCGAGGTAGCTCTTTCCTTTCGTCCGATGGTACTCTGATTTCCACTCCCAGTTCATGAGGAAGTACTTCAGTACTCGTGATCTTCAAGTGAACAACGCTGATATCAGTCTGCTGCCTTTCGTTAGTAATCTCGTCCTGACGTGATTCTGTTCAGTCCATCTTGATTCTTCAAACGAAAACAAGTTTTCACGGCATCTGATCGTCCGCCCAAACGATGCAAGCGTGGTAAGAGTAGGAGATAAAGAGAGGGAGAGATGGAGGGAGAGAGAGCAAATGCGCATGAAGAGGAAAATGCAACAATACCTTCCTCAATTGTCTTGTCTTTTTGCAGGTGTTTCGGGATAATGTACAGATGGGCGAGTTTGTCCGAGCTCTTGTGCAAAATATCGAGAACGACCTCAAAGTTTGTTGTTGCGTTTTCGTTTGAAAACCAAGCTGAAGGTTTGAGCAGCAGGGGAATGAGGAGCTCTTGAGGCTTTTCGTCTTTGTTGATGAACAGATGGATAAGGTGCTCAAGGACAAGCCCTATGTAGTTTTGATTCGATTCTAAGGAGAACAAGAAGATCTTTGTCGACCTTGGCGTTTACACCAAGAATCGTTGTTTCCGTGTGTATCTCAAGTGCGCTCGTCCTATCTGCTTTTGCTTGCTGATATCTCACAGCTCGAAGTTCGGGAAGAAAACGATACTAGTTCCTGTCAACGATAGAAGATCAATTGATGAGCTTCTTCGCGACGAGTCTTTGTTCTACAAGACTCTCGTCTGTCCTCGCTTGAAAGATCCAGCAAGCTTCACGGTGATTTTGTAACCTCCCTGCTTTCCATCACCTTCTGATTCACTTGGCTAGTTCTTGGAAGTTGTCGGAGACGACCAAGGACGAGGCTGTGCGGCTGCCTCCTGTACCCAAGTGATGAAGAGCTCGCAGCATTTGACATCAGAGAGTTGGAAGTCATTGCTGCTATCAGATGTGACTGCGATAACCTGTCTTTTCGCCGCTGAATCATCCTTGACCAGACGCGAACACAAGTCTGGGAGCAGGTGGGAGAGTACATCATTTCTTTCTGGAATGAACGAGCTGGAGGAGTAAACGGGAAAATTTGCGCGTTGAATGTGATGGACGAGGAGGAGACGATTGTGAACTTTCGTGTGGTTGGCAACAGATGGTGCGACAATATTGGGAGGTGAATTGAGCGATCGAGTGGAGGATCAAAACCTGAGTCGACTACCCAGACAGCACCGAAGCAATGGCATCATGCTCATCGCCAACAGACAGAAAGGCGTCTTCTACCAGTAATCTCCTCTTCCTCCCTCCCTCTTTGACTTGGACTCATAGGAAATGCTTCGATCCTGACTGCCGGCAACGAGACGCTCGCTCCAACGACTTTCCTATCCCAGCAGCCCTCCTGCATGGAACCTCCATCAGTGACCAGCCGGAGCTTGAGGAGGAATGGGACGAGGCTCTGTTTACTTGCATCGACAAGCTTGTTGCGGATACAACACAACGCAGAAATTCGGCAGCTCCTTCCTCTCCTCTTGCTATCCTCCAAGACGATGACCTTGATGCCGGGGCACTGACAGCCATCGATCAGGTGACCTGCTCTCATGCCTCCTCTCCGTCACGATCACGTTGACAGGCTGTGAGCGAGTATCTGAGGAGGAAGGAGACGAACCCTCATGAGCTATCACGCGTATTCCCCTCTCCTTCTCGTTAGCCTTCCAGCACATCATGTCTGCCTCTTCACTTGTTGCTCGCCTTCACCTTACTAAGTTATCCTCATCTGGCCATTTCCTTGAGTCTGTTCCCACAGGCAGAGTCTTTTCCTCTTCCGACGTTACCCAAACCTTCCCGCCGAGTCACTGAGTCATCAGGCGGCTCCGACCATCATGTTGAAGTTCCTACTAGGAGTAAAAGTCCTCCGAGTGAAGAGCTCCCCCAACTTCAATGGCTAATGATGTCGTGAACAGTGGCGGCAAACCGTTGAACGGTCGCCGGTACTACCCTACCGTACGGCTAGCCGCCGGGTGCTGCAGCGCGCTGAGCGGCCGCTCTGCCGCCGAAAAGTGATCGCAGCGGCCGCCGTGACTGACTCGGTCAGCAGTGACTGCCGATGACCGTCCGTCCGAGTCACTGAGTCGGACCGCCGGTACTGCCAGTGCGGGCCGCGGGGGGCCGGCCCGTGAGTGACTGCCGCGGTGTGACCGATGAGTCAAGTTCCGTGGCACTGGGGCTGCCAGGCTGAGCCCGGAGCCTCGGAGCGGCAGCTCAGGCCCGGGCCCGGCGGCCGGGCCGCGCGGCCGCCTGACCGTATCGGACCGCCCGGCCGGCAGCCCACCGGCGCGGGATTAGGCCGGCCCGGCCGCCGCGGCCGGGGCCCGGGCTTCAACCCGGCGCTGGGGCTTCGGCCGGCCCGGCCCCAGTGACTAATGTATAATCCCCGGTGACCGGGCCGCCGCTGCCGGCTTTGCCCGGCCCGGGCTTCAAGGAGTCTGGGAGAACTTTTCGGAAACAAGTTCGCTTGAAGTTCTGAGCCCTTTAAATGTTCATTGCGAAGGTTCTTACAAGTTTCGCTCTAAAAGACGTTTTAGATTTGACATATATCTGAAATTCGGTCATCAAATTTGATATTTTTCTATAATAATTTGAAAAATGTCCCCCCACTTCCTCTTCATAGGGCGGCCACTGACTCGTCAGACTTCATCGCCATGCTCAGAGCCGCCGCCCTCGCCGCCCTCGCTGCCTCAGCCTCCGCCTTCTCTGCCCCCTCCTCCTTCACCGGAGCTGCCCTCAAGACCTCTGTAAGCTCCTCTTGTGTGATGATCACACTGTTGGATGTGAACTGCGGAGGGAGACATGGGTGAAGGCTGTGTTGCAGCAGCCTAAGTGAGTCAGGCTGACGTAGCATGTTGGGCATGATGTTGGGCATGATATGATTCTCATCCTCCTCTCACTCATGCTTCATTAGGTCTCCGGCAATGTCTGCGGGCCCGTCATGAGTGCTGCCGATGATGCGGCTGTCTCCCGCCGTGCTGCCCTCGGTGCCATCTTGGCCGGAGCTGCTGCTATCCCAGGTAGAAGATCCTCTTTCCTTCCATCTCCTCATGCCTAATGTCTTGTTAGCTGCTGCCAACGCCGCCTATGACAAGCCCAAGGACAAGGATGCTAACTGGCAGCTCCGTCTCGGAGGTGTCGGTGTCACCAACCTCTCTGGAGGAGGATACAACGGCCAGCGCACCAGCGCCTTCAAGAAGTCCATCCTCTCTCCTGAGCGTGGAGCCACCAAGCTCACCCGCAGGGGACTTTCCGGTAGGGCAGCCGAGTGAGAGAAGGGCGGGGGACTGAGGTATTGGCAGATGAGGAGATCGACAACATCAGCTCCCTCACTGACAAGGTCATCAAGGAGTCCGTCATCACCAAGAAGGGATACAAGTGGGTCCTCTCCTGCTCCCTTTAGCCTCCTCTAACGTTTCTCCCAGGACCTCCAACACCGTTGGAATCAACCCGGGCTTCGGAGGATCCTCTGGAATCTTCACTGGTGCTAAGTAAACAGGTGGGAGCTCGAGAAGGGAGAGGGGCCTGGCTGACTGTCTGGGCAGTTTTAAAACAATACAGTAGGTATAGAGAGATGGTTATTCATGTGTCGGCCTTCAATAAACTTGAGGATGGGATCATCCTACGTTGTCACGCTGGTACAAGTGAGAGGAAACGCCTGTGACCTGTTAGCTCTCGTACTCTTGCACTTGCTGTCACCCTTCGTGTGAAAGTCGTCGACCCGTCCCAGTGTTGTATCACATCCTGCGCAGCATGAGCGCCAAGTTAACGTGACAGTCCTTACCTCCTTCTCCTGTATCACTCCCGACATGAAGCGGAGAATGATGACCCTCCTGTCCCTGTCCCTGTCAGAGGGTTACAGAGGAAGGAGACGAGCTGCAAGACATGCTCATGTTGCTCTCAGAGCAGTGCGGTAGAAGTGGATGATGCATGGCTGCTCCTCCTGCCTTTAGCCGGTAGCAGTACATCCCTTCGTTCCTGCAGCACATGAACACGCGCAGTGAAGCATTTCCGATACCTCTGCGTCGCTCGCGTTGAGACAAGAGGCGCCTGATATCACGTCAAGTCTCATCTCATCTTACTGCAGATTACATGCGAGGGCAAGAGTTTGGAGACGTCGGCCCGGAAGACATTCTGAAGCCGCTCGTCAGAGCAGGACGGGCATTGAGATCTTGTCCGACATAGCGCGAGAAATACTCGGCGTCGGACAGCTCAGCATGCGTCTTGACTGTAGAAGCATCAGAGACGAGGAAGCGCATGCCAAGGTGAACAACCAGGTTGGAATGGGAGCCTCCCGTACTTGTGGCCTCCTCTCAAGACCTGCAAGTTCGTCACCGCCAGTCTCCGTGAGCTCAACCCCTCACTCGCAGTCCCCCGTTTGTTTCATCCACGTCGTCCAGCGCTATCCACAAGGTGAGAACCTGCGGCCTATCACGAGACATGAAGCTCCAGCAGCTCGAGCTACGTTCTCATCTCCGTCCTGATGGATCGGCACTGCATGCCCGCCGTGACCATGCGCTCCTGCGCTGACCTTGCGATGCAGCTGAGTGACAGGGGAAGTAAGACAAACAAAGACAAGCACGAAGAGGAGAAGCTGTCGACGTGAGGGGATGACAGTCACAGGCATGAGCGTGACAAGACTCGAGCGAAGGGTTACCGAGGCATCATCCTCGTTTACCTGGGAGGCATAAAGCTGAACGTCTGCGCCTAGGTAAGACTGCAGCATGTCTACAACTGAAGCTCGCGTCACACGACTAGCACGCGCAGGGGTCGCGCACTCTTGTGGTGGGTAGCAAGACTCCACATCCAGTTGTCTGTGCGTGGGAGACATTGATGGACGTTAAGAATCCACTCGCCATCCACCTGCGGGTGCTGCAGAGACGATGAGCACGCGAGTTATGGGAGGGAGGGGCCCTGCCTTGTCCCGGTAGATCTCATCTACTCGCCTCCTCAGATATCTCAAGCCAGCAGGCGACAAGAACTCGGGGAAAGTCACAAACCCGTTGCGTTGGAAGAAGATGCTCTGACAGGTCAGTGAGTACGAGAGCCGAGAGGGTGGACATGACACTCTTGTGTCCTCTCTTGCTTCTCACGTGCTTCTCTCTGGGTTGGAACCTCTTGCTCAGTAGCTCCACACCTGCTGCAAGTTGTCGACCAAGTCCAACGTGAGCTACTCTGACCTGGACTTGCCGCGCCATGGCTCAAGCTTGGACTCGCGAGGCCGCTTGCTGAACTTCTTCGCTGCTTGCTCTGTCTGCTGGCATCTTGTCCTTGTTGTCGCCTCTTAGTCATTCCTAGATCCCTCCCTCTCGCCCTCTCTCCTTCTCTTCTCCCCACCTTGCGCTTCGTGAGGCGGGGGCGCTAAAGGATTTTATACCAGGCGAGCCATGACCAGGCATCGACATCCCACAGACGCGTGAGGGCGCGAGAGGAGGAGGAAGGGGAAGGAGGAGGAGGAGGAGGAGGAGGAGGAGGAGGAGGAGGAGGAGGAGGAGGAGGAGGACGAGGAGGAGGAGGAGGACGAGGAGGAGGACGAGGAGGACGATCCTCTTGCTGTCATCTGGCTTGCTGTCCTGTAGTCTTCTCCAGCCTC